TCAACGAAGTCCAAAATAATCTACACTGTACATTTATTTATGAACAGAAAATATTCCATCATATGTTTTCCTCACATCATTCCCTATTCTTATTCCCATCAATTCTATTACACCATTCCTGATCTGTATTCTTCATTTCATTCCTGTTCTTATTCTCGTTTCAAGAACATTCATTCTTTTATTTATTCTTATTCCCATTTGTCTCTTTTTATTTTCATATTTCTTAATCTTCTTCTCATCACACCTACTTTTTTTCTGTCAGGCTTTTATTTTGTTTGTCTTTTTCCTTTCCTTTTTTTCTTATTCTTTCTCCTATTTTTATTCATATTTTCCTTTTTCCTTCTCCCAGTTTTAGTCCGGTAATTCCTCTTCTCATCCCTCCTATTCTTTTTGTGAATATATTTAATTTTCCTTCAGTTCCTAGTTCTTGTTCTGTGTTTTTTCTTCCCATTCTCTGTCCTGTTTTGTTCTAGTTCTCATTCTTCTATTTATTATTATTCCCATGATTCTTTGTCTTATTGAGTCATAGTTCCTGATTCCTTCCCCCATTTACCATCTTCTACTTGTTCTTATTGTCATCACTCTTTTTTCTTACGAACATATTTTTTAATATCCATCTAATTGCCTGTTACTCCGTTCTCTTCCTGACTCTGATCCCTACTCCCTGTTACTTTTATTTTTTTCCCCTTCTCTTTCTTCTTCTCCCACTTCTTGTTAGAAGGAGCCACCGTACGTTCTTATTTCTTATTCTGATTTATAGCCTGTATAAACAGTCGGACCATCAGGAGTCCTTGGCTCAGTATTGATTTACATGTGGACAGAGACTCCGACCCCAGTTTCTGTGTTGCTCAGCAGAAAATTCTGTTGTTCCTTCCAGGCGACATATTTTTCATCTTTAACTGACCAATTTCAGTCAGCCCTCGTCCACTGCAGCCCCGTCCTTGGCAGAGAGCAGCAGTTTTCTGCTGCTGCGGCTCATCCGCCTTGAGTGTCAACCTGTTGTGCATCCTGAGATGGTTTTGTGTTGAGCTGTAAACTGTGGTTATCTGAGTTAGCACAGCCTCTCTGTGAGCTACACAGGGCGCACCGTAATTCTCTGTCCTCTCCCAGCACCAAGCAGTTTCTGATAGAGGTGGTTTAACGACGCCCCAGCAATTTATATGTTTAGTTAAGGCTCCGCTGTGTAAGACGTGGCTAAAGTGATTTTATATCCTATTCCCACGGCTAGAAATGGAATATAAATTAGTTTTAGTGTTACTTTTATGAGAGTGCAGTCACCTGGATGTATGAATTGTTGTTTAATTATCCAAAAATTATTATTTTCGGAGATCTTACATTAACAGCAGGTCTTCTCCGTAAAGGTAGCTATACATGGTTAAATTATCGCCCCCTGTAGGTGTAATAAAAATGTTTGCTCTGGAAGATTTGTGCCACAGATTAGAGAAAGATTCGCAGTAGAACCCTTTATTGTTTTCATGCATGAATTACTCCTGAAGTCTAAAAAGTTCTTTCTTTGCTGCCACATGCTTGAACTCGGAATATTTTTTCACCTCACGAGTTTCACCGCTCACAGAATTTCTTTACTCTTTTATCTCGTCCTGTTCCATCTTTATTCAGGACCAGAACGCAGGGGCACTGACATTAGAGAGGAAGCCCAGGATGTCTTAGCAACGCCAGGCAGGTCAAAAAGTTTGATCTCCACAAAAGCGTGCTGTCTATGAACTGATATGTCTCCTGTTGTATGTTGTATGTTGATGTAAAGGACTAATACAAACACTTTCACCCTGTGTCCAAGGTTAAACTTGGTCAACCTGCTGAGGGAACTCTTCTATGATTGTACTGCTAATGTCAGCATCCATAACAGAGGATACGCTGCAGGACTGCCAAGACCGAGGCGTCTGCCTTTGACTCTTACTCAGTCTAAACTAGACACCAGATTGTCTTGACTCTTCTTGCCAGCAGGTGTTGGATCCACTGGAGAACAAAACCATGTTCCCGCTCTGTGATGAGTCTGACAGTTCTGAGGCGTCCTTAGTTCCTAACTCAGAAATGATTAAATGTGCTCAAGGAACTCAAGCAAGAAACAATGTCTAAACTTCTCAAGATTTGTCCTCAACTTGGGGCGACTTGAGTCATTTGGGCACTTATCTCCCCGCTACAAGTCACGGTATAGAGGAACTAATAGTGCATCCCTTTGTACATTTTATTTCCAACTCGGGGCATTTAAAAGCTTTGCACTGCCTGGTGAGTTTTACTCCTGAAAAGCTGTGATGTTTATGGCTTAGAACAGTGGTTGGCAACTGGCGGCCCGTGGGCCAGAATTTACCCATGGGAGGCTATTTCTGGACTGCTCGATTATTTTGAAACCATAAATATTAAACATTATAACATCAGTATAAATCTTTGCTAGTTTCATGTTATGCTTTTTTATCATTAGCACACCCTGATGTGGAGTATGCTGAAAGCTATATCCTAGCTATAGTGTAAAACACTGATGAAGTCTGATTAATGCTTAAT